GGGGGGGGGGGGGGGGGGGGGGGGGGGGGGGGGGGGGGGGGTGTGAGAGGCAGGTTCTAATATACATTTTATTTTAAGATATAGAAGAAAATAACTTAATCTAGAAATAAACCTATTAAAAATAATTGGTTGCTCTTCTGATTTGTGTTGAATGGAATTAGGCTTTATCAGTGTTAAGCAGCTTTTATGTTGCACTTTGAACAACTAAGAATACGAAACAAATTATGTTGATGCTGGCTGTCCCAACTATCTATTTATCTAGCTGCAATTTTCCAGTTTTGCTCTAAGGCTTATGCAAAATATATATTTCTTGTCACTAAAAATTGGTCATCATGAAAACCATAGCAGATTTAATTCATTATGAAATATGAGATTAATTTTAAGCAAAACGCTAAATTTAAGCCAAATTGGCTATCATCACTTCAACTTACATCTCAGATAAGCAAAATTTATAAAAAGACGAGAAAAACCCAGTTGGATCACACTGAAACCCACTTATCCAAAATGCTATGTCACAGTGATTGACTGAAAATACAGTATTTATGGACAGGAGGACAATAGCCTATTTATCCTTGACAAACCTGAATGTTTCATTGAATGTCATAATTTCAACTGATGACCAGCTCTGTTTTTTGTTTTTGTTTTTAAAAAAGGCACTTTAGTTACAACAGAACAGAATCTGGGACCTGTGACAGCCAGCATTGCCTATGAGCTAATACACTCATATCAATGAGAGATACTGCAAAAGTGTAAAGATCCACTCAGTTGACAACACAAGCAATGTCTTTGATGACAGATCAGTCTCAATGTATATGCAAAGTCAAAATTGGTTTAATAAACTTATCTTTTAAATAGATTAGATCGAGATATTGATGTGGAAGACTTCCAACGCTACCCGGAGAAAGTTCATGCATCTCTTTATGGATGTCCCGTGGAATCTCCTCCAGTTGCCCTTTTTCATAAAAAAAGAAAAAATTCCTCCAAAGCCAAGGAAAGCCACAGCAAAAGGGTGAGTGAGTGTCCATATCTGGCCTACAGCTTTCTAGATAGGAACTAATGCTAACTAATAGCAGACTTCTTTGGGCCAGTTGTGCAGATTCTAAACCTTTTTTAATTGAAATACACTTCAGTGTAAATTTATCTTGTTCAAAAGTTGTGGTTCTTAACAAATGGTACAGTATGAAAAAAGAAAAAGAATCAAATCAAATCAACCTTTATTGTCAGAGTACAACATGTGTACAATGAGATTGGCTGAGCCTCCCACCACCACCCCCAACACAACTCACAGTGAAGACAGAAAGTCTCTAACCCAGTGAATCCTACTAACAAACACACAATCTTATTACACCATGTGAACTTATTGCACAATGCACCGGCCCCGCAAGTTTATCATACTATGTTGACATGAAGTTATTTTCCATTCAGGAGCCCATGGGTAGAAACTATTCTTCAGCCTGTTGGTGCAGCTAGCTATGCTTCTGTATTTCCTACCCAATGGTAGGAAAGTGAAGAAGTGTTGACCAGGGTGTGAGTCATCCCTGAGGATTTTCCTCGCTCTTCTAAGATAGCGAGCCCTAGTGATGTTATCTATTTATATCAGAGGACAGCCCACAATGTTTTGTGCTGTGCTCACCACCCTCTGTAGTGTCTTTCTACCCACGGCTGTCAAGCCAGCATACCACACCATAATGCAATATGAGAGGACGCTTTCTATTGTGGACCAAAAGGAGGTCAATTGTTCCACTTCGTTCTTTCACAAGACCCTGAGGAAATGGAGTCTCTGTTGGGCCTTTCTGGCCACCTGAGTTGTGTTGGTTTTCCAGGTGAGATCTTTGTTGAGGTAGACTCCCAGGAATTTAAAGGAGGAAACTCTCTCCACACAGCCCCCCTTGATGTAAAGTGGGGCGGGTTCCTTTCTCTTCTTCCGGAAGTCTAACGTCATCTCCTTTGTCTTGCGGAGGTTCAGGTGCAGGTTGTTTTCTTGGCACCATGAGGATAATGTTTGAACTGCAGTAAACTGTAGTCATACTAACACATTCCACATTACTTTGATTTAATACATTTCCCATATACTTTACATCATTATTAATGCTATTTACTATCCTGCTTTTACCTATGAACAAGTATATAAATATCATTTAAAATGAATTTATTAAGCAGTTAAGCCTAAGTACTTGGGGAAAGTCCATTTTACTTACTGTTTTCTTTTGTGTTGCTTGTCACTGAATTTCTATGTATGTATACACTGGGAAACTCTGGATCAGCAGCTTATGCTCTGCTCAGAGGTGCATGACTTGACAAGGAAGCAAAGACTGGAGCAGTTGGCAGCATTCAAAGCCAATGGCCAACGTCCTCTCCCCCAGGGATGCTGTGAGAACTAATTTTCTAGAGGGCATTTCTTCAAATTCAGCCCATTTTCAAACTCGGTCTTTTTTTTTTCCTTTTTTTTTGCCAGCTTCTACCACAATGCCACATTTAACCCTGTTCTTTTCAGTTGTGGGGCAGCCGCTTATCAATAAGTTATCCTGCCAATGGAGAGCCAAAGTTCTGAGCCTCTTTATAGAATTTTTTCCAACATTCCATCGGGTTGGAGCCAATAAAATAAAGATGATAGTAACTGAAAAAACTTCACCTATCAAAGATCCAATGTGGCCTACTTAAGGAGTTCTTTAAATTGTACCTTTGCTCCGTTTTAGCACCTGCCTATGCAGTTTTGATATTACTCACAGATAATCCATCCAAATAGCATGCCACAGTAGAGATAAGACCTGGGCCACATTTACTGAAAAAGAACATATAGGAATGTATCGCAGAATGAAAACTGTGCCTGTCCAGCAGCAGTTAGTTGATTACATTTATTTATTTATTTATTTTGTTTGAAGGCTGAAAAAAGTAAAAAAGGAACATCCCCTTTGTCATCTGTCATAAATAAAGGAGAACAAGAACTGAGAAATCAGAGGGACCCACATTGCCATTTCTCCAATAATCCGAAAGCAACTGAACAGGCGTATCTTTTTGGTGGGACAGCAAATAGCCGGCAAGAGTTTGATTATTTACCAGAGGATTTCTATGAAAGGTATAGTAATCATATTGTAATATACCTATAAAATATTAAATAACTATTCACATATTTGCAAATTATTACATTAATTTATTAGATGTAACTGTTATGTCTGGAGAAATAGATATATAGATATATGTTTGGATATATATTGTTTGGAGATACAGGTGAAACTTGAAAAATTAGAATATCATGCAAAAAGTTCATTTATTTCAGTAATACAACTTAAAAGGTGAACCTAATATATGAGATGGCTTACAGCTCATGAAAACCCCAAATCCACAATCTCAGAAAATTAGAATATTGTGAAAAGGTTCAATATTCTAGGCTCAAAGTGTCCCACTCTAATCAGCTAATTAAGCCATAACACCTGCAAAGGGTTCCTGAGCCTTTAAATGGTCTCTCAGTCTGGTTCAGTAGGAATCACAACCATGGGGAAGACTGCTGACCTGACAGTTGTGCAGAAAACCATCATTGACACCCTCCATAAGGAGGGAAAGCCTCAAAAGGTAATTGCAAAAGAAGTTGGATGTTCCCAAAGTGCTGTATCAAAGCACATTAATAGAAAGTTATGTGGAAGGAAAAAGTGTGGAAGAAAAAGGTGCACAAGCAGCAGGGATGACCGCAGCCTGGGGAGGATTGTCAGGAAAAAGCCATTCAAAAGTGTAGGGGACTTTCACAAGGAGTGGACTGAGGCTGGAGTCAGTGCATCAAGAGCCACCACACACAGACGGATCCTGGACATGGGCTTCAAATGTCATATTCCTCTTGTCAAGCTGCTCCTGAACAACAAACGTCAGAAGCGTCTTACCTGGGCTAAAGAAAAACATAACTGGTCTGTTGCTCAGTGGTCCAAAGTCCTCTTTTCTGGTCAGAGCAACTTTTGCATCTCATTTGGAAACCAAGGACCCAGAGTCTGGACGAAGAATGGAGAGGCACACACTGCAAGATGCTTGAAGTCCAGTGTGAAGTTTCCGCAGTCTGTGTTGATTTGGGGAGCCATGTCATCTGCTGGTGTTGTGCTTCATTAAGTCCAGGGTCAACACAGCCATCTACCAGGAGATTTTGGAGTACTTCATGCTTCCTTCCACAGACGAGCTTTATGGGGATGCTGATTTCATTTTCCAGCAGGACTTGGCACCTGCCCACACTGCCAAAAGCACCAAAGCCTGGTTCAATGACTGTGGGATCACTGTGCTTGATTGGCCAGCAAACTCGCCTGACCTGAACCCCATAGAGAATCTATGGGGCATTGCCAAGAGAAAGATGAGAGATATGAGACCGAACAATGCAGAAGAGCTGAAGGCCGCTATTGAAGCATCCTGGTCTTCCATAACACCTCAGCAGTGCCACAGGCTGATAGCTTCCATGCCACGCCGCATTGAGGTATTAATTGCTGCAAAAGGGGCCCAAACCAAGTACTGAGTACATATGCATGCTTAGACTTTTCAGAGGTGCGATATTGTTCTATGTACAATCCTTGTTTTATTGATTGCATGTAATATTCTAATTTTCTGAGATTGTGGATTTGGGGTTTTCATGAGCTGTAAGCCATAATCATCACAATTATGACAAATCATGGCTTGAACTATCTTGCTTTGCATGTAATGAGTCTATCTCATATATTAGTTTCACCTTTTAAGTTGCATTACTGAAATAAATGAACTTTTGCACGAGATTCTAATTTTTTGAGTTCTATCTATCTATACACACACACACATACACACACACACACACACACACACACACAAACAAGGAGACCAGATATTCAAGGCTTTCTGGAATGCCATCATAATGGGAACCATGTTAATTTCTGAAGGATGTCGTTCTAGAAGAATGGTGTTGCAACATAAAAGGCATAGTGCTTGAGTTCTAACAGAGGGCATTATGTAATCAAAGGGACCCAGAGCATGCCAACTTTGTCAGCATTTACCAGATGAGCATAAACTGTGAAATACACCTGGTCTGTCGAGTAACCAAGCCCTACAGGATTACCATAACTGGATATATCAGTTATCACAAATAAAAAGTCTGTTTATTTTTGACATTACAAACTGTTCTCTGGAGGCAGCATTTCATTTCTTCAGCTTGTGAATGGAAATCAATATCTCTCATAGAAAAATGCTATTTTTGTTTACTAGATCTCAGTTCTCCATTAGTCTAAAGACTCATTCATCCCACGGAATGATTTTCTATATTGCTGACCAAGCAGAGGAACATTTCATGGCCCTCTTCATTGCCCACGGACGACTTATTTATATGTTCAATAGAGATCACCAGAAATTAAGAATTCGAACCCAAGAGAAGTATAATGATGGCCAGTGGCATAATGTAAGTTGAAATTGAAAGATCCAGATAGAATCTTTATAAGCATTCAAAAAGTGTTGTTTACCTCAAATAAGTATATTTATAAATTGATAGTTAGTTGGGGTTTCAATGCAATAAAATGTTGCACCTTCCAAAGATCAGGAATAAAACAGGTCATCTTCCATATGCAGTTTCAGTATCAAAATGTGTGGAGAAAAATAATTGCATTCATCCAAACCCTTTTGTATACTTCTAGATAATGTATTTTAATTTTTGTTGTATCTTATCTTTTAAAAATATTGAAAAGTACAGTAGTATTGCAACAATAAAGATAAAAATAAGGAATAAACTAGAGAGCAACAACTCACAATGAAAATATAATCCAATAACAATGTAAACCTGTGTGTCTATGCTACTTATCTGTTCAGAAATAAGTCTCTTACACACTGCACTGAAAGAACCAGCTTACTATTTTTTTATTTTTTTACTTTTCACACTAAATTAAAAAAACAATAGAAATACTAGAAAAATCTCAACTGCCTTTTCTATTTAAATAGATTGAAAAAGTAAGCAGGATAGAGACTAACGCTCACAATATTCTCTGAGTGAATTCCAATGACATCTTTTCCATTATCTTTAGCATAAACATGTTGTTGTGGTTGTTTTAAAAAAGGTAATGTTTGTTCGAGAGAAGAATATTGGTCGTTTGATTATCGATGGCCTCAGAGTACTAGAAGACAGTCTTCCTTATTCTGATAACACATGGCCAGTTACTACTCCTTTCTACATAGGGGGTGTGGCACCAGGAAAAGCTGCTAAAAATATCCAGGTAAATGCATTTTTCTATAATAAATGTATCTTTTTGTGCGTGTATTTGTAAGACAGTTAACATAATCATAGGTGGAAAGAGGCATAGAGATCATCTACTTCAACAATCCCTTGAACATCCAACCTGTTTGAAGTCCAGTAGAGAACTCACTGTCATGCATATGGTAGCCTGTTCCACTGGGTGACAACTTGTACTGATGTCTATCCTGAATTTACTTCATCAGCTTTTTTTTATTCTGCTCTAATATAGAGAGTCACTAACTTACAATCACATTTGGGACCAGAATTTCCATTGCTAAGTAAGGCAGTTGTTAAGTGAGTTACATCCGATTTTACAAGTTTTTTGCCAATTGTTAAATGACTCATTGCAGTTGTTAAGTGAACAATGCAGCCATTAAGCAAATCCAGCTTTCCCCCATTGACTTTACTTGTCAGACATCATCCTCAAAGATTGCAGATGATGATCTTATGACCATAGGATGCTACAAGCACCATAAATACATAGTGGTTGCCAAGTGCCTGAATTTTGATCATATGACTGTGGGGATGCTGCAACAGTTATTAAGTGTGAGGCTGATCACAAGTAACATTTTTCAGTGCCACTGTAACTTCAAGCAGTCATTAAACAAATGGTTGCAAGTCAAGGATTACCTGAAGAACAATGTTTCTCAACCTTTTCCATTTTAAGATGTGTGGACTTCAACTTCCAGAATTTTCCAGCCTGCATGCTAGATGGGGATTTCTGGGAGTTGAAATTCACAGATCTTAAAGTTGACACAGTTGAGAAATACAGCAATAGAGGACCTATTGATTAGCCTGTTATCATTAAGCCTTCTTCACAGATACCTTGTTTCTGTCTTGGCTTGTTTTTTAGAAACACGTGGCTATATAATTTTTTTTAATGAAATTTTTATCTGTTTCTTATTTCAACTCTGTTTGTTTCCCTAGATTAATTCAGTGTACAGTTTTAGTGGTTGTCTTGGCAGTCTACAGCTCAACGGAAAGCCAGTCACTTCTCCGTCACAGACCTTCAGTGTAACACCTTGTTTTGAAGGACCATCAGAAGAAGGAACCTATTTTTCATCAGAAGGGGGATACATTATACTTGGTAATGAGTCGTTCTTGTGCTATTAGTGGTGGTGGTTAAACCTTTAGATAAATGCCTATGGTTACTGATGCAAAGAGATGGAAAAATATATATTTTGGGCTAGCCTTTTTTTTAATTACTCAGGGTATTCTGTTATATTCCTGGCATATAGTGGACTAAATTTCCAAACAACTTTGCATTACTTAAAGGCAGAAATTCTTACATAGTATAATCAGTATTGTCATTCTGCTTGTTTCCTGATCAGAACATAAATTCTCGAAACCTAATGCTCTCCATATGTATAAAGACAATTAAACCCCAGAATGCCAGTTAAAATATTGGCTTGAATTCTGCGTTATAGTCCCAATATTTGGGAGGACAGCATTAGATTAAGGAAGAAATTATTAACACAATACTATAATATTACCTTAGCTCAAATAGGGGAGATGCAAATTATCACTAAACATTATTAGGTATACAATGGCTTATTGGATAAAGCCATCCCAAGACTATGTACTGGGTATTGCCTTATTAACTCAAGTTAACCATCAACAGATTACAAATTGAGAATCTGCTAAGTACCGGTATATGAAAGCAAGAATTATACAGCCTATCTAAAAGAAGCTACCTGAAATAAGAATTTTAGAATAGCATAATATTGAAGAATTGCATAGTCACTGAAATTTTAAAAACACTTTCAAATTTCCAAAGTTAAGAGAGATTAACAGGATCTTTATTGTTTCATCTTCTACAGCATGTGAATAATTTCACAAGTCAACTTTAAATAAAACATTTTGTGACTTTTTCTTGCAGATGAATCATTTAGCTTGGGCCTGAAATTTGAAGTTGTTTTTGAAGTCCGCCCTAGGCACCATTCTGGAATACTTATGCATGCACATAATGTAAATGGAGAGTTCCTGAACATACATATGAAACAGGGACAGGTATGAGAAAGGGCCAACCACTCCTCCCTATTTTCACATTCTGATTTTTCAAAACCAGATGGTCCACCTTTTTGTGAAGCACCTTGTGCTCCTTACTTTTAATATGAGCAAAGTTCCAATTTCTGAAATAAGTAATATTATTTATCAAGTGATCATTTTTACATGTTCCAAAAATATCTGCTCAGTTGAAACATGTGTGGATAGTAGAGGATTTTAAAAACTAAGTGGAACTAAGGGGGGAGGAACCCATAGACTTTTCAAGATAAAATAAATATATGTTTTTATGATAGCTTCAGCCTTAGATAAATGACCTCCCTCTTTTTAAAGATTTTATAACATAATGTATTTAGTGCTCATTGGTTCTGAGAATCAGCAAGCTTCCTATTGCACTTAAAAATAAATGTTGTAAATTGACTTGAAAGCTATAATAGTGCAGTTAATGTTAACTTAATAGGCATTCATAGAACACATTCACATTTCATTTTATCTCTCTCTGACCTGTCCTACTATTATCTTAACTCTAATCAGTCTTTGGGGGAAAAAAAACCCTGTCTGGATTAAAAAACTATCTCCCATTCTATCGGGCTTCTCCTTTTAAGAAGTCCATCATTTTGCAGTAATTTTACCATCCAGCCCCACCCCATCTCCAAAATAAGATGATGTCTACTTCTATCTTCCAGAAACTGTTGACAGTCAGTACTCACAATAAGGCAAGTTAGCAGTGCAGATGTGTTTAGCATAGTATGCTGTTTCCCCAAAGCTGCTTTTCACTTATGGGAAAGGCTAGCTACTGGGAGAAGTCAAGAAGAGCAAACTGGTACATACAGATAAATGTACTGGAATGGCCAGAAGACCTTTGCAATGTAACCCTAAATCAAGCTAGAGAGAAATAAAACAGTGGGTCTAAAGTTTTTGCCAAGCATACTTCCACTTTTCCAACCGCAACCTTTCCAGATATACCAGAACTACAAAAATTCCCTAATCGGGGTAGTTCAGGAAATTCTAGTCATGGCTCACCTGGAAGATGCAATTTTGAAATGAACCAGTATGTGGGTGGTTAGATTGCTGGACTTTTCAACCTATCATGCTTATGTAACACTTTCTTCCATTTCATCTCATGCTTATTAAGTAACACTATCTGTTGGGTACATTTTACCTCGAATAATTTCAAATTTGATAGTTAAATGCATAATCTCTAATAAGCACATTTTAAAGCTTTTTCTTACTTTTTTTCCTTATTAACTAATTACATTAGAACAAATAATGTACTGTACTGTATAACATGTATTATAAATACAGGATATTATGTGCTGTATAACATACTGTTCAGGTTTTGATAATATAATCATAATCCTACCTATCCAACAATTGCTGAATTCAATAGGCCCTTCTCCACTCAAATTGCATATATAATTGCATGTAAAATGGGTAAGAAGTAAACCAGCCTTCCTTATCTGAGCACCAAAGCATAGGAGAAGAATCTTACATTTCTATCTAAAAGCCTTGAGGCTGGTGAAAAACATTTTGTTTTAAAAATTTTTAGATAATGTTAAGATTCTAACGCTGAACTCAATCACTTTACCAGGTTATTGTGAAGCTAAACAATGGCATTAAAGATTTTTCAACTACAGTTATACCAAAGCAAAGTCTCTGTGATGGCAGATGGCACAGAATTGCAGGTGAGATACCACAAGTTCTGTAATAATGGTGATTGTGGGTTATTTCTTTCGTTAAAACCATCTAAGATATTGAAGAAGCCTTAGCCAGAGCAGTTGGTATTTTCAAAACCTTTTTTTAATCTGGTGGCTTGGGATATGAAAATACCTTATTATTCTCTTCTGTTTTGCATAATAGTTATTAGAGACGCTAATGTAATACAACTGGATGTTGATTCAGAAGTGAATCATGTGGTGGGACCATTAAACCCAAGAGCAATTGACCACAGAGAGCCGGTATTTGTTGGAGGAGTACCAGGTAAGATTATTATCACTTTATTTTTAAAAAATTAAGAAAATAAACTATTGGTGTTTATTTGGATTTATTAGCCAACCAGTTCCAATGAACACTTTAAACCATAAAAGTGATGTCATATTGACTTTCCAAACACTACACAAAACTATTGCTTTGTTTTAAGGCTATATAATTACCAACAGAAAAGATGGGCATTATTGAGAACTGGTGTTTAATGTAACTTTTCTTTGATAAAGCAGAGTACTTTATAAACATGTACTGTAAGAACATTTATTTCTTATGTCCAAAGAGATTGATACTATCAGATGCTTAATCATTAATGCTCTAATCATTTTAATTTTTTATGATTTAGGTTTTGAATTATCTTTATGATTAATTTCCCACATGTACTGGATGTATGTAAAGATATATCAATGTGCCTTGAATATTCATTAATACCATTAAATAATTAAATATGCTAATAGAATCTTTGACATAATTCATCACAAGGGAAAATCAGAAGCCAACAATCTTATAAACAATAAAATCCCAAAATCTCCTACCTACCAAATCTGCTAAGAGCCGTGGTGGCGCAGCGATTAGAATGCAGTATTGCAGGCTAATTCTGCCCACTGCCAGTGTGATCCTGACTGGCTCAAGGTTGATTCAGTCTTCCATGTTTCCGATAAAATGAGGACTCAGATTGTTGGGGGCCATATGCTGACTCTGTAAATTGCTTAGAGAGGTCTATAAAGCGCTATGAAGTAGTATATAAGTGTAATTGCTATAAGTATTAAGTGCTATTTTAAAAGAACCATGTTTATCGTATTTCCATCCATTTGAGTAGGAGTCTCCTGATCTTGAGTTTTTTATGAAATTTCTGGAGAAGATAGACTACTACTTTCTCTCAAATCCTCTTCCTAACGCTTTTCTCCAGATCCAATCAACAACCTTCTTTTCTTTAATTAGCTTCAGAATGTCTAATACTTTTTAAATGAGTTGAATTTACTAAAAAAAATTAAAACCCCACAGAAGTGCTACTAAGCTGAGCTTAGAGTAGAAGTGGTACTAAGTGTATGTTAAAAGTTTCATATTATGGTTAAAGCCATTCTAAGCCTGTACTTGCATTTAGATACCGTAATGTCACTTGTGAACAATTTGTGGCTAATGTTTTTAATTTCTTCACAGAAGCTTTCCTGACATTCAGCCTGACCACACGTAATTCCTTTACTGGATGCATCCGTAACTTTATGATTGATGAAAGGCCGGTGATTTTCAGTAAGGCAGCTTTGGTCAGTGGCGCTGTGAGCATCAATGTATGTCCTGCTGAGTGACAGGCTGGTACTACAATGATATATACAGCATTGAAGAAGCAGCAGAAGCTGTGCAGGGTTCAATTTTCAGTATCAGAAGAATTAAAACATATCACTCATTTTAAATACATGATAACATAACAGCATAAAGCTTGCAATCATTAGGAAAGCTTCAAACACTTTTTTTTTGGGGGGGATACAGATTCCTAACCTGTACTAGGGGAAAAAAAACACCTCTGCGGTGTTCTAACTGGGGAATGAAAGTGATCAACCCAGTGGGAAGAAATGTAAATCTACTACTGCAGTGGTCCCCAACCTTTTTTGTACCACGGACCGGTACCGGCATCACAAAATGATCCAAGGACCGGTACCGGCATCAGCACGCACGACCAAGGCAAGGCGAGCCGAGCGACCGGCCAGCCAGCCGTCCCCCGCTTCTCCCCGCCACCTTCAACTCCTCCTTTGCACCTTCTCGCAGTCGATGGGCTTTTCGGACTCTTTCTTAATCTCCTCCTGAGTAACGCAAGACTCCACCGCCATCGGGACGGCTCTTCGTTCGAAGCCACCCCTTCGACGAAACTAAGGCGGGAGGATTCCTTCAGCACCCAAACGCCGCTTTCCATCCAACCAACGACTGACAAGCTCACCCGGAAGCACTTTCTCAAGCGCCGTCGAAACAAGATGGCAGCGCCCAAAGTAGGCGGCTCGGTACAAAATGATCCATGGATCAGTACCGGTCCAGGGCCCGGTGGTTGGGGACCCCTGCACTACTGTACAGTAATGGTCACAAGCATGCCTGACTGCATTTGTCAGCATTTCAGGAGCAAATGACTTAGCAACTCTGGTTTTCAGCTTCAATCCACTAGAAATCATTTTATTCTCCCATCAGAAGTTTAATAATAAGCCGCTGTTGGAATGTCCAGATGCTGTGTCTTGGGATAAGCTACTTCTGTTCATGGTGTGCTTTGCTTCATGTATCTTACAGAATAAACTATATAACAGACATGTTTCACTAAAACAGTATCTTCTGAGTTTCCTTTTCCTATACTTTTTTGTTCAATTATGGTAAAGTAGTATGGGTTTTGTTCAATTTCCAAAACCCAGTAAAATCCCACACATTTTAAAATTATTATAATCTGCTTTTACACATAACAAATAAATCGATCCATTATTAGCAAAAGTGAATATTTTATGTATCTGTTACTTATTTATATATCTATTTACGCTACACAATTGTAACTTTACTGGTAATTGTAAGAAAATCAGATTTTCACCTATGAAAAACAAGTAATATATTCATTATTTAAAGTAATTTTATGGGGAAAGGTGGTATTTAACTATATCCAACTCCCATTTTAACATTTTTCTCATATAATAGTCAATCTTGACAATAAATACATATTAAACTGTGTGCTTTTAAAACTAATTAAATGTTCCAAATTCCAAATTCCAGACTTAGTCTAAATTTATCATTCATTCATTCATTCATTCATTTTTATACAGTGAAATTAAAAACCATACCAGTTGACATAAGAACATTTTTAAAAAAAATATTAAATGTGAAAGAAACAAATAAACTGGTTGTTCTATAAAAAATTATGGCACAGGCATTTGTTTGTAATGCTGTAGGAAGAAAAATCCGGTCCATTTCCAAGCCAGGAGAAAGACACAGGAGCCAATGAATTTAGAGGCAGGCTGCAGGAAAAGACGTGTCTCCATTTATTTTGGAATCAGAAGCAAAGTGACTCAGCATAGGTTCTGGGACAGCTGACAACCTGGCATGGGTAGTAGTGATTTTTATACCCTTTTTGACCTTTGAAATTGAGATGCCTGGTGGGATTATTTGATTAGATTAGATTAGATTAGATTTTGTATTTCAATTGTCCCTATTTGGTTTCCTGGGTGGTGATCAGGGTCAAGGCTAGCCTTGGGGAAAGATGGGGAATGTAAATTCTGTGTAGTTTTGCGTTTACTACTTAATCCTTAATCCTGTCAATTCAGCCTGTCCCAGTCTTCTAATTGGGAGTTACTTGAGGCCATTCTGTCTGGGAGGCACCAATTGCTTTAGCTTCTATGGATGGTTTTTCTTTGCCTTCTCTGAGGGCATGGAAATAAAGGGGGGTGTCTTATGATTCTTCCTACAATACTTAATATTAAACCAAAAGTAACCCCTCATTATTCTTGGAATTAGTCGTCCTAAATGTGAATTCAGATTGTCAATAAATATTTATCTACAGTCTCTTGCAGTTAAAAACTTCTTCCGACACATAACAGGCTCAGACTGTTATGATTGAGGTAATTGAGGCAGAATATAGGATGCATGCATACACACAGAATTACAGACAAATACTAGGGACAAGTGAGCTTCCACCAAAAAGTATCTTTGGCTGGAATTTCAAATTTCCAAATTTCCTTTATGTAGAACTAATACAGAACAGATACGTGTGTGTGTGTGTGTGTGTGTGTGTATTTAAGACTGCTAGCACTTCTATATTGTCACAATTTTTACTCCTCAGTATTTCCAAAGGTTAACATCTTCTGTTCTGCTAGCTTGCAGAGAACCCAAGTCTGCCTCCAGCAGACTAATACAATAATCAGCCCTTATTGCTTAAATTACTGCAGTTCAACATATAATAAAAATACTAACAATCCCAAATTACATGAAAGAGAAATAAAACAAATCCCAGACACCAGCTAACATATTTTATTGTAGTTCATATGCAAACTGCTTTTTAAAAAAAATATGGAATAGTTTATATCATGGGAAAAAGCTTTCCACCTGTTCTGAAGCCTTTGCTTCTAAGGTTAAAATTCTCAAGCTATGAAGCCAAAATGACAGTATGTAACATTTTTGCAAGCAAGTACATTCCCAGTATTACTAATTATATTGCTATAGCTCTGAGAAAGGGACAGATACATCCTAAGTGATACTGAAGCTCTGGGAAAACAAGCAGCATGAGGCAAAAGTTCTCCCCAATGGGAAAATGAACCAATATGTCTACAGCATTGGGGTAAAATACCATTTTCGCTCCACTTTCAGATACACTGGTATCAAAATAGGGGGAAGATTACTCTGCTCTTGAATACCAACAACATTCAGTGAAAATTGGGATCCAGAGCCAAATTTGAACTGATACAAACATCAGGTACAAGCTGTTTATGAATCACTTGCCAGATGCCCATAAGCAAAAAGAAGGCATATGGAAGTACTCTTATAAAAATAATAAACTATTACTAAATAAAACATCAATTCTTAGATTTTATAGAATTTGCACAGTCATGGCAAGTTAATGAATATGTTTCTTGATGGAATATTCTTTGCAAGAATATAAAAGGTCAGGTCTCTTTTGATAAAACAGAATATGCAATCAAGTTTTCCTTCTGCTTCATGTGCATTTTACCATCAGCATGGGAATAACCGTCAGTGATAAACTTATTTATCAGCCTTAAAATAAGTAGAGGAAAAATTACAACCAATAAATGATTTCTAGCATTTGAAGGTAAACATATCTACTAAATGAATAACAGCAAGTCAGAGGAATTCCACTTTTTTGAATAAATAAACCATTTTCCATTTCCTATCCTTACAGTAAACCATTTTCATTATAAATGGTATTTTCAGTTGTTTGTGAGAAATCTGGATACCTGATTGTTAAATTGTGTCTTGATTATAGTATTGTGGATATTCTGATTGTATATTATTCAACTCACCTGCACTTATAATGCCCTAATGTCATCAGATTATATTACTACCCAAGTCCACCTTTTATTTCCTTACTTTATTCCAACTGAGAGGCAATTTTATAAAAAATAATCTGAATCTGCTACCCAAATTTCTATTCCCCTAAAAACCACATAATCTTTTTTTTTCTTTGAGGTAGAAGCATGAATTTATAATAACACAAGCTACTACACAGCCACAATCGCATATCAGACTGGATTTGTATTTTTGACAAACAACATATCACACAGTAGGAAAATGGCAATACTGTCATAGTTAATGAGTCTTGAAGGAAAGAAACAAATTTAAAAAGTGGTATTGATATTTTTGCAGGGCCATCCGGTCTTTACTTCATTGAATGCATACCTTGGTTTACCTCCCTATTCTCAGAGCAACCTGGGCTCCCCAACACCCCCAGTCCATGGCCACTACTGTGGGTTGAGCCATTTGGAACCAGGCTGCGGAAGTAGTGGGCACACATATCCCCACTTGCATGAGTAGTGGGCAAGAACATACACATGTGCTCCATTTGCACATGGAACTGTGAGCATGCGTGTGCTTGCCTGCCGTTCATGCAGAACCCTCCCCTTGTCCACAAAGCCGGAAATATTAGGGAACTATGAATTAGATTATCTTGGCTTTACAAAATCATTGTCAAAAATCATGTTCAGTTCTTAATTATATTCTTCCTATATTCATTATTATGACATTATGACAATATTTGGTTTGAACTGAAAATTAATACAGGTTTAGAACATTTAGTATTAAAAACAGAGAAGAGAGGTGAGCAATCAAAATTCTTAGAATGGTACAATAATGTAATAATGTTTTCAGTGGAGGAACAGGACAAAAGACCATCCTAGCATATTCCTGGTTTCAGACCTTAAATTGCACATTCAATGGCCAGCTGCTAAACAGGCTAGAGCAGCTTAATTCAATGTGAGTGCACCTATTTGAAGATTATGATACAGACTCATCCTTTTCTTATATTCAACTCAGATTAATTTACTACCTTGGCAGCATGTTACGAATCAAGTCTTGGCTCAGAAGTTAAGTCAGTCAGGCCAAATTCTGATTTACAGAAAACACCTTAATGGAACACAAGTTTTATATGCTAAATATTTATTCATTAATCAAATAGCAAAACCCCCAAACCACACAACAGGAAGAAACCAATAGTAAGCCATATTGTTTTAAGAATATCTTACTTTTTAATAGGTGTGTTTTTTGAAAGTGGAGACTTCAGCTGTTTTTTCTATTTTGTCCTAATCATGAAATCATTGAAATCTAGGGAACAATTACAATGTAGTTCATTTACCAGTATTAATAATTGGGGTTTTTTTTTAATGTTAGAAAAACAATCCAACATTTCTCAGTCGAAACAATGAATTGAGAAGCCACAAAAATCCATATCCAGTGATAATATGAAATGTTTCACAGGAATATAAACATATATACAGACATACCTTGTTTCACTGTATTGCATTTTGCAGGAATTGCACTTTTTTTACAAACCCCTCCACCTGCAAAAAGCTCATGACTGGCTGAAATTTCAAATGCTTAACCTTTTTTAACAAGAGTATTTTTAATTAAGCTAAGCACATTATACATTTAA